TTTCCTTAAACTTTTTTAATTGTTTTGTAGCATTTTTGTAATGTTTACTATGGGATGGGATGACATATCTATAAATTATATTTATTACACATACATTTTTTAAATTAAAATGAAACCACTCACCAGAATAAAATGACGAAACTATGTACTTATAACACACACTAAAAAGTTTAAAGAACTGTCTTGTTCAATTATAATAAATTATACACAATTATTTATTTAATGAAACAATAGTGTTAAATCCTTAAACATGAAAAACTAACAAAAACAATCTGTTAAAACGTGGTTGCTTGCAACACTTAAAAAAACGAGCGAGTTTAGTTTAGTTTAGAGTTTAGAGTTTAGAGTTTAGAGTTTAGGTTAGGTTAAATAAATTGTGTTTCGTCTTTTTTTCTTTGCATTTTTTTTTTGGCCTACGGTCAATAAAAATTTGGTAAAAGCATAGGTTTTTTAATAAAATAGGTATGCAACCAAGATTACGTACACTTAGGTACGTACTTAGTACGTACCCAGACAACACACCAAATCCCAGAGATATCCGCAGAATATCTTTTGTGGATATCCAATATATCCACAGGATATCATAAATATTCCGTGGATCTAATATCGATATCCAAATGTCCGTCTATATCCAGGATATAGAAGATATCCTAATGGATATTCAGTAAAATATATGGGTATCTTCCAGAAAATACAAGAAATCACCAGGGCCGCCGAGAGCCAGGTCGGGCCCCGGGAAAATTCTCTCATCGGGCCCTGCAACTTTTCATTTTCTAAAAAAAAAAACCTCGTCTAGAAGTTTCTCCTTATCTCAATTACTTCTTCTTCTAAAAAAAAAGGCCCTCGTCTAAAAAAAATTACGTCTTCTTCAAAAAAAAAGTCCTTATCTCTACAAAAATATTTTATCCCTAACTTCAATTATTATTCTTCTTCTATCACAATAATCTCATCGCCATGCGGGGACAGAAAACCCTATTGTCGGGCCCCCCTTTACATCGCTTCCGGGCCCCGGGAATTCCTCCCGGCTACCCCCCCCCCTCTAGTCGGGCCTGGAAATCACAGAGATTTCCACAGAATATATTTTGTGGATATTCAATATATCCAATATGGATATCCAACCAAATGTCTGTCTATATCCCAGGATATAGAAGATATTCGGATATTCAGCAAAATATTTTATGGGTATCTTTAGTAGAGGTTCATATAAGTAACCAACGATTATTAAATAACGTCGAAAGAAAATAGCAGAGATAAAAAATATTTTCAACACTCTGCCTTTGATTTTGCCCACTAAGGAGAAAGTCATCCTTATTAGGACTCTTCAGCAATAAATGAAAATTCTCGACCCCAGTCTCTAATGGAGTGATTAGGACACACATTTCGATCGAACTCAAATACGGCGGGTCGAGCATGAGTAGATGCGATAGTGGTATCGCCATCTATACTTAGTAAGCAGAATCAAATAACATCTAGTGGATATCCACGATGGTTTGCGTTCGCGCCTAGACTTTGATATATTTAGTGGATGTTCATTGGATATTGAATACACCTTAAAAAAATTAATTTTAAATATCTGAACGGTACTATTAGCCACAATGGCGTAATTTTTTAATAATTTGCTATATAATTTTACTATTATTTATGGACATTTGCATGTCTATAAATTACATTTCATGGATATAAAATAGATATCTACCATGGACTGGACATTCAGTGGATATTGGGATGTTCAGTAGATATCCAAAGGATTTGGTGTGCTGTCTGGGTACTTTTCTGTACGTAATGGTACGGACGATTGTGTACGTACTTAAAACGTACATTTTACGTCCTGTACGTACAGTACCAAAACTGTACGTACTTAAGACGTACTGTGCTGTTTGGGTTTATTTTCACGGTATTTCGTTTACTGCGTTTTGTCATATTGTTTTTTAAAATTTCATTAAAGTAGTTTAATATGTTTTCTATTGGTTTTGTTAATTAAGGAACTAAGGTTACTGTTATTGTTAATTTAATTAATTTCATTGATTATTTTTCTCATCTGTCAACATTTATTCGCTATTCGCTAATAAACTCATGGAAGAACTCGCCTTCCTTTGCGAATGAACTCGTCTTCGTTGACAGTTCCTTGAATATAGGCAACACATTATACGTAAATAGAGTAGGTATACTAATTATCTCTAAAGTTTCAAACAAAATTATTTTCTGGAAAATCGATAAATTTATTTGCTTATAATAGGTCTTGTTATATTACCTCCCAAATAAAGTAGTCTGCTATGGTTTCTATTGGTTTTGTTATTTGCGGGGCTAAAATTTTTTAATCCCTTGGAATAGGGCTGCCAGATTTTCAGAAATGAAAAGCGGGAGGTTTTAATTTTTGAAGAAAAAACATTTATTTTAATACTTAATATTCAAATACCTACTAAATATACAAAGTTATTATCATACATAATTCAACAAAAAATGCTTACATTAAAATAGTTAAAATTGTAACCAATTAATTATTCTAAAATTACAAATATTTTGAATTGTTTCCTACTTCTACCAAGAAGACTTTTTCCTTCCTTTTGAAAACTTTTTGCAAATTCTTGGCAAGTTTCAGTATAATTAAATTTAATCATTAGTTTAGATACTGTTTCTATAGAAAGAGAATTTCTTTCTTTCCTCCAGGCTACAAACGGACTAAAAATGTTCTCACTCATCGCGTTTGAGTGAGGAAGAGAAAAAACATAAGAGCAGATTTTGAAAAATTTGGAGATCTATGCTTCTTAAAATAATAAACCCATTGCTGGTCAATTTTAATATCTTTAAAATTTAGTGAAGGATTTTCCAAATATGATGAGAACTTTACAAATTCTTCTAAAAGTAGGTCAATGTATCCTTACGGTTGGTATAGTGTGGGGCTCACAGCTCGCTTTATTTAGAGCACATATTCACTAAAAACTGCACATAGGTCCTATTGTTTCACCCACCTATTTCTTTTACAATCTGAACAGAAATAAACCTAAAAGTAGAAAACAACCCCCATAAAGTACCCTTCATGCTCCGCTATGTGCAAAATCTAATCGAATAAAAAAAACCATAAGTTTAGAATTTTGTTATTCTCTTTATCAGTTTTTGAGTTATCCTGGATGCAGACAGACAATATCGCAAAAATGATCAAAACGAGGAACAATATTTTTATTGGAAGCCTTATTGCTGCTGTTCTTGAAGATAATTATATTTCTGTAATTTAACAAATGTCTGATTTAGGTACTTTAATAAATAATTATTTTTTGATTTAGTTTTTATTTGACTATTATTAAAAAATTAACAAAAATATGTTATCAAAATAATATATCCATTATCCCAAATAAGATGAGATCATTTTATCAATATACCTTGTTTTTAGTAAAGATATTCATCTCTTCAAGTACGTAAACTAAAAGATTTTTCATAAAAAAAATGGTTCCTAGAGACAGAATAATAGTTATAAAACTGTACATTTTCATTAAAAAACTTCCATGAATTGTATCGGTCATATAATTTCATTAGGTATATTTATGTAATTAGGCACTACAAATGTTTTAATATAAGCCATAATCATATTTGGAATGTTAATTTTAAACTTGTCAGTATACCTAATAAAATTATATATAACCAATAAAAACAAAAGTTTTTATTGAAAATATATATTATGTATAATTGTCAAATTATTAAAAAAATATATATGTTATTACAATAAAACCCAATAACATTATTTTGCCTGATTTTGGATACACCCGCAACGCAAATAATTTTGAAGCTATTAGTAGGCCCTTATTTTGAAATTCTCAAGTTTTGCAAATCTAGATTGTGACCATAATGTATATTTTGAAAGAGTACATATACATTTTATTCCCATCATCTCTTTATATGACTTTATATAGCTTGGGCAACAACAAGCTATAACATCTAATTTACAAAACTTCCCTTACTTTTCAACAAGCGACCTCACAGTTCTGAGCATTGCTTTACCTGTTAAATTTGCATTAAATATTTTAAACAACTGAAAACTATTCATTTTACCAGTTTTTCTTAGATTGCAGTTATAATAACATTTCCTCCAGTACTCCTCTACGTTCTAGTTGTAGTGTAGATATAAGTTACACTTATATTAACCATTTCAAAATTGCTTTTCCAGCTTTCAAATTTCGGTGCTTAAAAAATCATATTGGAATAAAAGGGAAACTTCATTTTTATTTGCATGTACAATATCCTTTAATTGTGAACTAGCTGTATTAAACTTTCACTTTTTTGGTAGGATGAGTTAGGTATTGCAGTCCTGTTTCTGTTTCTAAACCGTGTACTTCTCGACTATGTCTATTTAAATTGGACTTCTTAGAAAACAATTTCTCACAAACGGAGTATTACAACATTCCATTTTGATAAACAAAAATTATCACTCTTCTAGAATGACAAAGGAGAGAATGTCAAGTTAAAAGCCGCGCCAATCTTGATGACACTTTTAGCGAGCATGCGCATTATGTGGAGCTACCAGTGGCATTTAGCATCTCGTCTATAGGTACAGCAGGGGTAGAAGCAGAAGTTAGAAAGGCTTTGGGTAGGTAGAGAGGGGGTGAGCGTCAAACCACGTCGCACTACCTCGAGAATTTGGCGATAATGTTTATATGCTAGTGGTGTTCCATAGAATAAGTAATTTTAAATTTTTACGGGCGGAACCGGTATTTATTGATTAGAAATGATTATTAAACAAGTATTATAATATCCCAAATCATAATTCTACAAAATTTCAACAGCTATTCACAATTTATTAAACTATTTACCCGAAATTGTTCTTAATATATAAAGTAATTTTGTACGCCAATGTATCGCGTCCACTTCGCATAGTTCCGCGGAAAAACTGTCAATTTCTGTATTTAAAGTGAGAGAACTGCGGAAAGCCTTTCCAACTTCTGTCCCTGCTATACCTACCTACTTTAGAAAAATCACTGCTACATTTTCTTTTCAGCATAGGTACTTACTTAAAATCTTAATACAATCTAAGCAACAGTTACAGAAACCAGGTCTAAGTTCTTCTCCTTCATCACAAGTTTTTGGTGTGCATGCACTCAAATCACATTCCGGACAAACAAATGGCTCACTAAAGTGAACAAACGATGTTATTAAAAGTAAAGTGATAGCCCACATTATCCACTGGTACAGATCGATATAGTTACGTAACTAAACCCTGTACCTATCTCTTCGCGCACCGTTACTAGAAAAGTAAATATTTTTATAGTTTATAATTAACCTATTGAAATGATAAGTGTACTGTTTACAAGTCAGTTTCAATTGATAGCATATTGTAGTTAGACAATACTTTATACTACACGGCTCATGAGCGCCGCAATAAATTTTTCCAGGTAAAAAATTGTGAAAATAACATTAAAAATATGATGTGTCCAACATATTACTTTCCTGTACGGCCCATCTAAACAAAAAGTATTTATATAATATGAATTAAAGATTATAACATTATCTCTACTTAAAAATTTAAATTTTACACATTTCCTCAAATTTCTCCACTATCGTCGACTTTGGAGAAATCATGTATAGGACAAAAATGATAGAGAATGACATCACAAATAAATCTTATTTAATTTTCTTCCATAATCATAACTAGAAAAATTACCTTTTATAAAATACCCCCCCAGATGTTCCGACTCTGTCCAAAATATAATCAACTCACCGCAGGATCGATTAAAGTCTAAGTATAAAATGTTTTGTATTTTTCTTTATCCGTTTTTGAGTTATCGTTAATACAGACACACCCACACACAAACAGACATTTTTGCGAAAATGGTAAAAACGAATTTAGGATCCGTATAAAATATTTTTAATTTCAAGGCGATTCACAAATGTATGACGGTTATTACATGCAAAATCTCACTACTACTGTGACATCAGAGAAGCATATTTTCAAACAGTACTACTAAATATGGCATTTTAGCGACAAAATATTGCACAGTATACATTCCTTTTTTTTTTGATGCGACATTGTACGACATTCCTGTTTAAAAAAACAAAAGACTTGTTTTCATCGATACAAGTTGCTACTCCAAGACACGAAAAATGTAAATGTAGGTATTTATGATAACATACTGCTGTTATCATGTTTGTCGGAAAATCACGTCTGAAAATAGGAAACTCGACAATTAGTTTTATTGTTAGCAATAATTAATACTCAATCATGCAAGTCAATTAATTAATGATAATTAATTTATGATAACATACTGCTGTTATCATGTTTGTCGGAGATTCACGTCTGGAAATAGGAAATTTGACAAATTGTTTTAATGTTAGTAATAATTAGAACTCAACCACACAAAATATGTCATTGAAAAGTGAATTGTATTTATGACAACATACTGCTGTTGTTGTAACCACCCACTTCCATACCCCCATACATCCATTGATTTTTGTTTTAACATCTGAAATCATATTACTTACCTTTCAATTTTATTTTACTTAAAATTCTATACTTACTATATTTGGCCTTTTTCCTTTAGTAGTAGTAGTAGTGGTGATCGTCTAGTTAATTAATTTATAATTTATATACCCACGTTGTGATAATGTTAATTAAGATAAACCATGCAAAGTTTAGTGCAAATTGGTAAATAAAACCATACCAAATTTATATTTAATGCTTTTTATTATTCTTACTTTAAAATGCAACGTAATAATTTGCAAAGTATATTACAATAGGTACTAGTTACTGAGTTCTTACTTGAGTCCTGCTTAAACGCGGACCACGTTCATTTGCTATCAAGATATATTTTATTTAGCTTGATGACCAACGGAGTTAACGAATAGCAACAATTCGCCAATTGGTTAACTTACTATGTTGATGTTTATATTTTATTTAGCTTGATTCTATCCTAGATATACACAGAATTGGATTATCTTAGGTATTTATTTCGACGAGTATAGATGTGATGACCAACGGAGTAAACGAACAGCGCCAATTTGCCAGTTGGTTAACTTACTAATACATTTTACTCAAACTTACGCATCAAAAAACAGATATCTAACTTAAGTGTCTTTCGGGGTGAATGCCCGAAGACCATGTGGTTCATTGGATTACATTGATTATATTTTGAAGCAAATATCCCACCATTATTCAACAGGACCCCGGCGATATCTCAGAAAGTTACATTATACTTTCGACTCACCATTGTACTAATTTTATCTATCGTTGCGACGGCGTAGATTTGGGTACGTCACAGCGTTGAGCATCGCCTTGTATCGAGACACCTATCATCGTGGAAGAGAGGAAGGTATTTATTACGTTACTGCGTCGGGACGGATATACGGTAGGAAATACTTAAGTGATGCAGTGCGACAAAAGATGTCGTCGAGGATATTATAAAAGAAATATTTAGGAACGGCAAGCGTCGGGAAGTAGGGTAGTAGGGCGTTAATCGTCGGGATGAATATAAGGTAGGAAATACTTAAGTGGTGCGGTACGTGACAGCGTTTCGGACGTAGAAAGGTAGAGAAGTAGGCCGTCGGGACGTTGAGCGTTCGGGGGATAGAAGGTATAGTAGGATAGACGTCCGTTAGGAAGATCGTCGATTTAGGTAAGGTACTAGAAGTATAACTGAATTCGAAAGCAACTGAATTAAACTGGATTTAAGATAATAATGAACTAGACTGGATATCAAATAATAAAATAAATAAATGAATCTCGAATTCCTTGGGTTCGGGTAATAATACCCGTTTTAATGACTTTTTGTGACGTCAATTTGTTGTAGCTCCGGTGGGAAAGAATTTGGGTGAATAAAAAAGGGGCGGTAGATTTATTAGACCCTTGAAAAATTCTAGGAATTTTGTGTCGAAATATTGTTGAAATCGGTCTTATTATTCGAAACTAGAAAGATGAGCACGGTAACTGTTTTAATGATTATTACTTCGTGAAAAGAAATATGTTTTATGGAGGTTTTTATATCGATTTCTCATGGGATATCTTTTTTACTTTTTTGTAATATTAGAGACCCCGCGAACAGAAATATTTTTTTATTTATTAGGCGTCATATATAGGATTTAATTATCTATAAGATTTTTCGTAAAAATGATGGAATTTGAATTTAATTAATATGCATCTTTTCTTTAATACAATGGAATTAATAAATTATAGAGGTACCTAGGTGAGGTAGGTTACACTGTTATTATTTTTTTTTTTTTTGAGAATCATGTTTGAAAATAGGAAATTTGACAAATTGTTTTTATTAGTAATAATTAACAATTGTTATTGAAACTGATATTATTTGTACGTTGTTTGATGTTTTTTTTTTATTTTATTACCCATGTTAAAATTGATTTTGAATATCAACTCGTTTTTTCATGATTAACGTAGATATAGGCAACACATTATACAGAACCTATGACAAATTTTCAGTTTTTATGTCTATTTCTTGACAATGTTATCATAGAAAAAAATCTTGTCTGTATTTTACGCAAAAAGTTCGTTGCCACTTTCGACAGGTTGCTGCGCTCCGCTACGCGTCGTGCGACCAACTTTCTGTCTCAAGCGGTAAAGTATCTATGATAGTATTTGTGATAGTGGAACTAGAATTAGAACTTTTATTGAAAAACGAATTTTATTTATGATAACTTCTGTCATCAAGTTTGTCGAAATATCAATTCCGAAAATAGAAAATTTAGATATGGCAACAGTGAGTGAATAATATACTGCTGTTATTATATTTTTTGGAAATAAGTCCGAGATTTACGAAAGCGTAGAACCATCACAATTTTTTTTACAAATTCCGACTTGAACCTCGGAATTCCGACTTATAACTCGGAATTCCGACATACAAGTCGGAATTTGCAAGTTGCAGGATGTCATTTTATATTCTAAAATTGACATATTTTGGAATTTTGTATAAATATGTACAGTAATTAAGCACCTGAATTTATTCCATTTGGCTGTTACATATGGATGTATCTTATTGAACTCAGTTCTAAATGTCATGAAGTTTTCATAACTTAGGAGAAGTTTGAAGCAAGTATGTGCCACAGGTACTCTTGCAACCCCCTTGATTCAATAAAATCTATTTTGATTTGCAAGATCAGAAGCTGAGAAAGGATTCTCTTGTTTTCAAATCACATTCTTTTACATATTTTTTCAAGTAACTAGTTATTGTTTTCTTTTCCACTGACCAATGTATCAGATAATAGGTTGAGTGCGGATTTGGGTAATAAAATACACGTTCTGCATTCTGTAAGAACCTACCAAGTCTCAATTAATTATAATAAAACTATAAAATGCTAGCCCATATCCCATATCTATCTGAATTAGGGCGTGGTTCAAAGCCCACTTGTACTGAAGCTCTAGGCTTATTGTACCCCTCACAGTTTCTATTCCATCAGATTGATTTTCTTGATGAATTCAAGAATATGTCTGATGGGCGCTTTCGCGATTTCTTCAGGTTCCGGCTATTGTACCCCAAAGTACCATTCCCGTTCCCATTTAAGGTTCCGACAGTGGTATAGTATGTGAATAGGAGTTTCGTCCTCCTCTTCACATATTCTGCATAGGGAGTCATCAGATATCCCTAAGAGATTTAGGTGTCTTCTAAGGCCGCAGTGTCCCGTAAGGAGTCCTATTACGGCCTTGAGTTCGTTTCTGCTAAGGTTTAGCAGTTGATGTTGTGTGCTCGTGAATGACCCCTCTATGAATCTTTTGGACTGTCTAAGTGCAGGAAGTTCCATCCAGAGCCTATGGTGTTCTCTATTTATTTGTTTCTTTAACATCCAATTAACATGTTGGTATGAGTTACCACACGTGGGTTCTAGTCCAATAAGAGTTTTTTTCCGCTCTCTTCCTTGCTAGGAGGTCTGCTTTCACGTTTCCAAACACTCCCTCATGTCCTGGAACCCATTCAAGGGTGACCTTGTTATGTCCTGCCAGGGCCTGGAGGGACTGTTGGCAATAAAATATTGATTTAGATTATACTTCTACCCTTTTCAGTGCTTTAAGGGCTGCCTGACTATCTGTCATGATAAAGATCCTCTTATCTCTAAGAGAGTCATTTAGCATGACTTTGGCGTAGGCATTTATTGCTGTTACTTCAGCCTGGAAGACTGTTGTCAGTGACTCCAGGTTCAAACTAATTGTCCTCCCTGAGTTCACATGGTAGATCCCAGCTCCTGTGCTGTTTTTCATTTTCGAACCGTCTGTATACCAGATTGATTTGTTTTGTTTTCCCTATTTTCCCGGATTTTGGCCCTTTCTGGTATTTGAATATCGAAAGGTTTCCTGAAGTCGTGAATAATGGGCGTTCTATCCGATGGCATTCTTAGTACCGGATTTTGTTTTAATTTCTCTAATATTATTGTGTGGTGTCCTTTTCTCGAAAGTTCCCATCCAAATCCATTAGTAAACAGCCTGTATGCCGCCGCCATAGCCTCCTTCTCCACCACAAGGTATAGTGGAGGAAGACCTAGCAGTAGCTCCATTGCTGCTGGGGGCGTAGTTGCCCATATCCCATAGCTTTCTTAAACGAACAAAAACTTTAGAGCTGATTATCTCAGTTTGTTACTATTGAGGGTTGGTAGCTTTCTGCTTAACGCCGTCCAATTGTGATTTTAGCCTTCTGAATTGGAATTCCGACTTATAACTCGTAATTCCGAGTTGCAAGTCGGAATTCAAAGATACAAGTCGGAATTCCGAGTTACAAGTCGAAATTTCGAGTTAAAAGTCGGAATTTGTAAAAAAAAACTTGTGGAGGTTCTACGATTCGTAGAGATTAATCCCTTTCCCTTCATTTCATATATTTTTATCTGCTAACCAAATGATGTCTAAAATAAATTGATTGAAGGGGGGTGGGTGGCTCAGTAGTAGAGTCTCTGTTTGCGGATCCAAGTGTCCCAGGTTCGAATCCCACCGTTAGCAGGAATTTTTTTATTTAATTTAATTATTTAAAATTAATTCTGATGCCTTGGTAGGATTACCCACTCGACCATTCACTGTTGGGTTCTATTTAACAGTGCTGTTACTAAAGTGACGCTGGGAAACAGTAACAGAGCCTAACACAGAACACGAGGTTAATAACCTTAGAAGTTGATGCCAGTGACACCAAATAAAAAAAAAAAAAATTGGAGAAGTTTGACCCAAATGCAAGCATTAAGACCTTTACCAATATGAAGTTAAAATCTTTTTATTTTTTTAGGTTTTTAAATTTTGAAATAATACTCTCGAGCTTATTGTTTTCATTCTGTAATATTCTCATCCTTTCATTGTTTTCTTCTATCTGTCTGGCAATATCTTCCATCGGATTGCCCTTAATTTGAATTTTGGGAATACTGTCGGTAGTTTTTACGTCGTTAACGTGTGACTGAATAATCATTTGCTGAATTTTTTCCTGAAAGAATATTTGAAATTAACGTATGTTTTTGTAATATTAAAATTTATAATGTTGTTCTTGTAACATTGTACATAACCTTGCAACTTCTTGCGGGAATTATCCCATAGCAGTAGAGGGGAAGAATAAAAATGGATGAGAGGCTATCAAACGATCATCATAGCGTAAATATCAGAGGGGAGAAACGCGTGAGCATTAATAACATTTTGTGATTTAATGTCATTATTCATTAGCAATTTTTGTGCGAATTATAAATCCTTTGTGAGTTTTGGAATGTTATTTTAATTCCTGAAGTCTTTTTGAACAATCCTGTTTAGTGTTACTTCTAAACGGATGAAATAATTCCGGAAAACCTCTCATGAGAAAGTTTTTACTACATAAGCAGTTAAACAACAGATTCGCCTTCAACAATTATTTTTGAATTATTGTTTTACTGAATTAAGTTAGGTCACTGGATATATCTTTCAGGTAGAATTGAAGAAGACCCGCAAACTAATACAAGGAAAATTGCTCATGAATTGAATATTACGCATACAATTGTGTGGCAAATTTTAAAATCTCAACAACTTTATCCTTATCATATTCAATGTGTACAGGCATTACTACCTAGAGATTTTCCTCTCAGTGTAGATTTTGTGCGTTTGGCTGCGAAATAAATTATTAACAACCCCGGATTTCTTAGGCCATGTACTTGTTACAGACGAAGCTTCTTTTTCTCGAAACGCCATCATGAACTTCCACAACAACCATATCTGGTCTGAGGATAATCCCAATGCTATCATAGAAAATAATTTCCAAGATCGTTTTTCTCTAAATATTTGGGTCGGAATTATCGGGGATCACCTTATTGGACCTTGCATTCTTCCACAAAGGCTAAATGACGAAGAAGAGTACAGAAGATTTTTGGAGCACGAGCTTCCTGAACATTTAAAAGAAATTGATTTGGCTACCAGAAACAGGATGTGGTTCATGCACGATGGCGCACCGGCACACTTTTGTTTGGCTTGCACGTCAATTTCTGAACGAGAATTATCCTAATCGTTGGATAGGAAGAGCGGGACCGCAAGCCTGGCCTCCCAGATCACCAGATTTAAATCCTCTGGATTTTTTTCTATGAGGTCACTTAAAGACACTAGTTTACAAAACATCCGTTCAAAATGAGCAAGATCTAAGAAACAGGATATTTGAATCGTGTGCCATTATTAATCAGACACCAGGTATATTCGAAAGAGTACGTCAATCAATGTTAAGGCGAATTGACGCATGCATTGCAGTAGGCGGCGGGCATTTTCAGCAATTGTTGTAGATGTTATTAACTTATTTGTAAAAGTAGTTTAGTCTTAGTCTGTAAATAATCTAAGTTTATCACATAACAATATTGATCAATAAAAGACACATTTTTCACTTGTTCCATGCAGAATACTATGCGTCGGACGAAAACTATGCGTCGGACGAAAACTATGCGTCGGAGAAAAAAACTCATCAGACCAAATTTGCTCAAAACTAAATGAGGATTGCAAAAATATTTGTTGTTTTAAGATGAAGCAGTGGCGTACTATTTTTTTCGGCAAAAATATTTAATACAAAACCCGTACGGGCGCCACTGGTAGAAATACCGAACATAAACAAAGACAAGAAGAGTGTCACTTTAAGCTCCTCCTCCAATGTTGCCTTTCTCATTCACTTTCTGAAGCAACTCTACCTCGATATACTTTGTGAAAAAAGGATAAAATTTTACACAGTTATTTTTGAAAGAGAACGTTTGAGTCATGTGGCGAAATTATCGTACATTTTGGTATTGTCATACATTGTACAGAACGACAAAATTTTTGTATAAAATGAACATTATTTTACGCCTGGCAACACTGCTTCAGGCATCTATCATCACTTATCTAAGAAGATATCTTCGGCATGTACACCAATAATCTATCATCACTCATCGGACATCGCTCATCGATCATCGATCATCAATCATCGGTTATACGGTCATCAAGGCATCTTCGGCATGTAGGTACACACCCTTATGACATGAGGATAGAACCTATTTAGTAATTTATTAAAATAAACTTACTTTAAAGTTTTTAAAGTCTTTAGATAAATTTGTCGCATTTTCCTTGAAGTCGCAGCACAACATCTTAGTTTTGTTTTCCAAAGTATTGTTCTTTTTGTTGACTTTAGTCAAATATTGATTTAAATTGTCACAAGCGTTACTTAAAACTTCGAATTCTGTTAAGACATACTCGTGCTCTTTTTCTATCTTCAAAAGATTTGTTTCAACCACTGGCAACTTGTCTATAAACTGTTTAATAATTTTTCTAATTCTCTCGAAATTTTCTGATAAATTTGAGTTTTCTTTTTTTAACACGTCCGATTCTTTTTTGAATAGGGAAATGTTCGTACTTAAAGATTCGATATGAGTATTTAGGTATGTTATTTGAAAATCGTTTTTTGTAAGGCATGTGGTCAACGTTTCCATTTTTAATTTTAAATTAGCCATTTCTGAAGAATCTAAAACATCAAATACGCGGAATTACAATGGTCAAGCTGGAATTTACATTCTGTCATACACCTTGTTAAATGGAGTAAGATAAGAACACAAGCTACAGCTGTATATACAGGGTGTTAGTATATTTAACCGACAACGCTGTACCACAGAGAGCTCTCGTTATTTGATGAATTTTGATATGAACCTTTAAAGATATCTTCTATAAACGAACTATTAAAAATTTGTCACTTGCCTACTAGATTAGAATTTAAAAATATTGAGTCATTACAAATTATCTAAGTACATGCAGACTTTTGTTTAGAAGGAAATTTATACGACACCGTTCATTTTAGCTTTATAAAAGGGGTAAAACATATGGAATAAAAGTCGCCACTAACCCTTATAGCACGCCACTGGTTAAGTTTTACAAACGTTGGTATGTGTCAAAATATTACTTCCTTAAAGAGCACATTGGTCACCAAATTTGAAAAAATATAGGAAGGCGTTTTCGATTTATGGCAAATATTGAATTTTAATTTAAAATTTTTAACACCCTGTATCTCGGTAACCGAGCCTTCATGTTCCTAAATCAAAATTCAGAAATTACCGAGAGCTCTCTGGGGTTCGGTCGAATATAGTGACACCCTGTAGAATGGCATGAAATACAGAAAATTGACCAAAAATTGACATATTATATGGTTTTGCCATATAACCACATATTTATCAATTTCTGAAATAAAAAAAAGAAGAATTCCCCAGCGACTGTTTTTATTGTTAATTCTACGAATAAAGGTTTCACTTACTTCTTTTATTTTTTTCATTTAGTACTCCACATTCTTGTTCTAACAAAGCGATTTTTCCATTTTTCCTCTGTATCTCTTTTTTTAAATTCTTAATTTTCTGATTTAGTTCATCGTTTTCGTTTTCCTTGTCGATTAATTTTTCCAAAATGTTTTTTAAGCTTTTCTCAATTGTCATGGCTGTTTGCATCATACACCCGAACTGAGTCAAGTCGTAGATATTTGATTTCATTTGTCTAAAAGAAAAATTACAGAGGATGTAACAAACATGTAGGTCGTAAATTATACCAGATATTTTGAAGTCTAGCTTTCAGAAAAACTGAACATTGTTTTGAAGTTTCATGAGTTTCATTATCGTCCAGTGTTAGTAACAGAAAGAAAAGATGTAAATATTTTTATGCGACCAGTACAATCCTATGGTCTCTTGGTCCATTTTGCCTTATTTAGGTCTCTTAAAACCTTTATTTTTGCCGGAGAGGCTAGCCGCGAGCTTAGTGTGCATCCACTTACTCGCAACAGTTAAGCAGTGGTATCTCCGATCACGTCGTGGATGGGTGACTGCTGGGAGGTTCCACCATGGGCCGTGTCAGATTGGGATTCATCCAACTAGCGTGTAACCATCGACGACGTGGAATAAATGAGAATGAATGAGGGTAAGAATGGGAAAGTGGTAGGACCTTCAAATGGTGGTACAATAAGCCGCAGGCTGCAGTGCTGCCAGACTATAGACGGATTAGGGTGTAGCACGGGAGGTCTGAAGGGTGTAAAACGAAAAAAAACCTCTATTTTTCCTGTTACCAAGAATACCGTTTATTCTAGAATATGCTGTTGTTGTAAATGTTTACGAACCATCTAGAAACAGCAATTCTGGTGGAGGTACCGGTACCAGAAGCAGCGATTCTTTGTCGAAGGATATCTATGATGTTCAAGAGCAAGTCTGGAGTGCCACATATGTATTTAGACTAAGTATAACCGTTTGAGCTCAGTTCTAGTTGCGATAACGTTGTGTTTAAATAAATATTGTCAGTGTATTGGTAAAGGAAATACCCGATAGAGGAGGAACAGGATACCAATAAACATGGAACTAAATCAGAAAGAGGACCTAACCTAAAATATAACAAAATGCACAAAGGATCGGGAGACAGAAAAGATAAGAAACCAATAAGAAAAACATACAAAAATTGCAGCCCTAGATGCTTAAAGAATGTTCTCCAGCAACGGTACCAACCCCTGAGGGCGGAGAAATTGGATGTTTTAGTACGAGCAGCCCTCGACATTACCTGTCATATAGACTCAATGTCAGGTGCCATACGGTTAAAAGAAATATACCTTTTTTGTATATAGGTAAATTAGACCTATTTTTGACTCCAACATTTTTGGCATAATTTAGGACCTACCTTTTTGATATACCCTCTATAAAATCTGTATAAAGTAGAACTGTTTTAACCAAATTATGTTGAAAAGAAGATTAAGTATACTTACTCAGTTTGGTAAATGTCATCTTTGTGTATTTCGAAGAGAATCAACAAATTTTTCATGCATGACAAGGCTGAAGCGCAACTATCGCATTTCTCCAAACAAATAATGTCAGTTTGGCTTGTTTCATGTTTTTTGGTCTTTGGAACCATGATTCGGTCCGAATAATTTGGATTTTTGATTGGGAAGTTCTGATCATTCTAAAAAATAAGTGTGTCTTCTCATAAAAAAATACTGATGTACTTTTATTTTTTAAACTATAGATACTAAAAATCTTAAAATATTATTGTTTATGGACAAATCTCATTAACTGCGGCTGTATGGTTCCATTCATTGCCATTTTGAATTGCACTGTTTTTTTTTTAATTAATTTATTTAACATCGGCGTATTTGTAAATATATTATTAGTTTATTGAAAGTTTTGATTTTCCATTCATCAACCAATATAATTTCTTATATTTAATGCCTAACTCTTTTAATATTTTAATAGTTAAGTTAACCTGAGCGTTAATTGTTGAGCTGAATGAGTCATAAATTATAAATTTTATTAGATGTAAATTAAAGTTTTCTGATCGATTTTTATATAATTTTTACTGATTTTTATCGTCGGCAAAGAAGAATTTATTATACCAAAGTCAAGAGTACCCGCTAAGTACTCTATTGACCCTTACTACGTCTTCTAAGGATGGATTTTCTAAATTTTTAATAAAAAGCCTACAGCCAGTGCTATATCGGGTATGGTACCCAGCATTAAATACATTAAAGCTCCTACTTGCCTGCCTGTATGAAAAGTTATGTTTTTTCTTAGACACTTTCCCTGTATTTGCAGTTTATGAAATTTTTAGAACAGATGCGAAATTGGTTTACAATCTAAAAAATTAAAACGGTTTAAAGTTCTTCTAGCATGTGCTTTTTGGCTTATAGCCGGGACTAATTCTCGGGGCCCGGCAGCTGTAGTAGGTGAGGTCGTTTTTTTATATTTTTTGAAGTTCGCCACAAGAGCACAAGAGGGAGGACCTTTTTTTCACTCCTAGAAGTTTTTGCTTGAGGACCTTGTGTTTTTTTTTTTTAGAGAATTCACTAAAGTGGAGGAGACATTTTTGCAAAGGCTCAATTTTTTTATAAAATTGTCGCGGGGCCCGACCTGGCTCTCGGCGGCCCTTAATGAAGCATCGGAAAGGACCCCGCAGACTTTAAATGGAAATTGGGTTTCATCGAAATTGTCCCATTTTTTTTGCAGGGAGCTAGCTTTTGACATCCTGAACAAAAGTCCTTATGGGTGGAACAAAATCCTATGTAAGGATTTTGAGTTATTTGCGAAAGAAGGCCTCGATTTTGACGAACCTCAAAAATCGTAAACACAGGGAAACAACACATACAAAGAGGTTAGGGTCTTTATTTTTTAAAAGTCTTGGACCAAGAAGTTATTCCAGAATGATTAGTAGTCATTGATGGAGACGCTGTGTATGAGTGCCCGTCAATAGGCAACTCACAGGATGGTCCTGAACACTTTCGGCAAAAAATTGACCTTTTAACCAAACTTTTCTGAGCTTGGTTTCCTGGATGAGTCGCCTCCAGAAAAGTTGGACTGACCGAGGCCATCAATGGTATGGGCCCATGAGTTATCGGCCAAAAAAGGACCCATTTGGCCGATACTCGAGAAGTGTGAAAACGGGGCGGAAAACTCATACAACGATGGTAATATGATCACGTTTAGACGGCTTTGGGCCAAAAAGTAATTTGACAATGCCCAGCAGGGTTTGCTGGAGATGCCGGGCTTGAGTGCAACTCTTATGATGGTCACGAACACTATTAGGAAATACTTGACCTTTCAACCATACTGAACATTTTCGACTTTTTGGCCCAAAGCCGTCTAAACGTGATCATATTACCATCGTTGTATAAGTTTTCCGCCCCGTTTTCACACTTCTCGAGTATCGGACAAATAGGACCTTTTTTGGCCGATAACTCATGGGCCCATACCCTTGATGGGCATGAGTGAGTCCAACTTTTCCGGAGCCGACTCATCCAGAAAATCACACTTAGAAAAGTTTGGTTAAAAGGACAATTTTTTTCCGAAAGTGTTCAGGACCATCCTGTGAGTTGCCTAATGATGGGCACTCATACACAGCGTCTCCATCAATGACTGCTAATCATTCTGGAATAACTTCTTGGTCCAAGCCTTTGAAAAAATAAAGACTCTAACCTCTTTGTATGTGTTGTTTCCCGGTGTTTACGATTTTTGAGGTTCGTCAAAATCGAGGCCTTCTTTTGCAAATAACTCAAAATCCTTACATAGGATTTTGTTCCACCCATAAAGACTTTTGGTCAGGATGTCAAAAGCTCGCTCCCTGCAAAAAATGGGACAATTTCGATGAAACCCAATTTCCATTGAAAGTCTGCGGGATCCTTTGCTTAAATATAATCTGCATCTTAAATTATGTTTGAGGTCTAGCCAGAAAATCCTCTAGATCACACAAATCAGTAGTCGCAGTCAAACCATCATCTACGTGCAATGCCAATATGAGTTTTCTAATTTCCTTTTAAATTGTACACTCGGATATTTTAAATTGTACGTCTCGAGATAGAATAAGCTTTTGAGTTTCTGTTATCCAAATTCTAAATATTTCATCTCCATCATACCCTAAAAGATATCCCTTGGTAGTTTTTTCTTGTTTGACTTGAAATATGGATGTAACAACTTCTAGGCTTGTGGCCTATCCATAATTCGTATGGACTTACTTCTTTAACTCTCGACTTGGCTGTGCGATTCAGAATATAGATGACAGTATTTACTAATTCAGCCCAAATGCCATCCGGAAATTTGACTTCTGGGTTCGAATAATTCAAGGTTCTAGTAATTTCAATAAGGGCTTGGTTCTGTCTCTCCCACGTCCCCCGTTCTGTTTTGAAGTGTAAGGTGCCGTCGGTTTTGAAGTAATACCATTTAAGGACAAAATATTTGTAATCTATTCATAGTCAAACCACCGTTGTCGTTTAAAAATTCCTGAATCGTTTGCCCTAATGTCTTAGCATATTCAATCATATGGGATAAAGCATCTTTGACTTCTGATTTATGTTTGATGAAGTAGCCGTATCGAAATTTAGTGTAGCTATCTTTAAATTAAACTATATTTTGTTTGTTCTGGAAAGACTCTTCGAAAGGACGACATATATCAGAAGATATCAATTGCCCCAATTTGATAGCTACTTTTCTAGTGTTATAGGATGGCGATGAGCTTTTCCGTACACATGATACAATTCGCTAGTTTGGCGTTTTCTTGATGTCCCTATCTTTCATGGAACGGCTGTCACAACTTCAGGGTTACACCTGTCTATCTAGTTCCAAAAAAACTCTATGTTCTTCAAAATTCAAGACAGCATTTCGTTGTAGTCGTCTCAAATTGTTGAAAACGTAACCAAATTCTTCCAACAATTTGTTTCGTATTTTGTTGCAACATTATCAACCCACCACTGATTTGAATCTGATTTATCTCGTTACATATGGATATTATAGCCACTGTTGCATTTGCCACATTACTAGTATTATCAGTAACCCTGCTTCTAGACGGTCTTCCGTCGGCTATCCCCTGACAATTTTTGACCCAATGGCCTTTTAATTTACAACAGTTGCAAACGTCGTAACTTTTACTATTTTTTCTACTGAATTTGTTTCTTTTCTCTTATCTTTCTTCTTCTGATTTGGATATTAATGTCCATACATAGTTTACAGCATCCAGCCTGATCTAAACGTTTCAAAATTAGAAGGTAAAATTTAAAGAGTTTTCCTCATACATTCTTTTCATTCAATTTTTGTCTTTTATTTCGTTATTCAACTACAGCTTTAATACTCTTATTTAACCCTGTCCACAAACTATTTAAATTAGAATATGCGTGGAAACATCATCTTTGGAAATCCAGTCAAAGAAATAAATAATTTCTTGCAACTTAGCTTTAAATTGTGTTTTAAGTGCAATCCATACCTCGTGAGCTGTTTCTTTATCCATAACTTTTTTGTAAACTGCATCGGCAACTGTTGTCATTCATTATCATCGACTTAGCAAAATTATTTGTCTTACGAAACAGATCAGATTTCATCTGTTCTTCTGTAGCACCTGTAGGTAATGATTCAGGTGTAGTTGCCATCGATCACATCTACTGGTCCTTCGTGATAGTCCAATAGATATCTGATTTTCTTTTTCCAAATTGTCCAGGTTGATTGACCGGCTAATGATTTAATGTACTTCGCTAATAGTCTAATACTTTTACTCATGGGACTTCCGCTGGTATTTTTCCGACTTACAACACGACTTAGAGCAAGCCTTGGATCCATAACCTGTTGGGGTAGATATCTCCAGGTGAAATATGACGCATCAGTGTGTACAAAATATTTATTTAACTGTGAAGGGACAGAATAAAAAAATTAGACCTATCAAATTGACAGCATTTATTCAACTTAATATAAAAAATACCTAGCTAATATTAACTAATTGCTAACTTTATTTAATAAATTAGACTGCTATCTTCAATATTTGCAACTTCAACACCATCTATTTCAAATACTAATCCCAGTATCATATCTCCCGTGCGGGGAAGCTGAGTTAGGCCAGCGCTGCAGGTGGCGTAATCTAGGTAGTTGAGTTAGGCCAGCGACCTTCTTTAATCCCTTGTCAATTATTAATTAGGAGTATTAATATGTAACTAGGAGAATGATGTGTAGATACATTACGAATGTAAGGAAAATAGAAAAGTAATATTTATTCTGTCTTTGTCACCGAGTATACATTACGATTATGGAAGTCAAATATATTTTTAGCAAAAAGGGAAAAAAGTTGCTAGTTATAGGCAATTTTAAATTTTGTGAGGCAAATACTCTTGCCAATGGTGAAGTGCAATGGCGATGTGTTAAAAAAAATAAGTGTTCAGCCAAGGTTTATATTCTTCGTGACCAAATAATAGACGAGAAAAGTGATGTCAATCACAACCATGAGGAAGACTACACTCTTCAACGACAGGCCCTTAGCAATGGCATTAAAAGGAAAGCAATGCAGCGGTACGCGACAACTCGGCGATGCAAAGCCGGCGACGGTCAACTCGGCGATGCCAAGTCGGCGATGGCCAACTCGACGATGGTAAACTCGGCGACGATCAACTCGGCGAAAAGGAATACAATAATATAATATGCAATTATTTATTATAA